ATAGTCACAGTAATCAGTCACAGTAATCTTGAGCAAATAGAGCACAGTTGGAGATATCACAGCTGATATCAAATTAAACCATAGAGAAACAAAACAGTAAACTGCACACATACACACACACACACACACACACACACACACACACACACACACACACACCACATAGACCAATAGAATAGAATGGAAGATATGGGTATACATCCACATGGGTAAAGATACTTCATTTGAAAAGGTATGACATCAGAAAATACGAAACATATTCAATGAATGGTGTTTAGGAAACTAGTTATCTACTATAGAGAATGAAATTAGACCCTTATCTCTTACTCTGCATAAAAATCAATTCAAAGTAAATCAAAGAGTTTTATAATAGACCTGAATTTACTAACCTATCAAAGAGACATCAGTACAGACTGAATCTCTCTTGAGTATTCAAGAAATAAACCCAAGAACTGACATATGCGATTGTATGAATTTGAAATATTTCTGTACAGTAAAGGAAGCAACTCAGTTAAGAGATAGACTACAGGACAGAAAAAAAAAAACCTCCAGATGAATACTTGACAAAGATTAATGTCTAGAATCCATGAAAAGTTTAAAAATTGAATGCTAAAAAACTCAATCAGTGAACAATGAACTCAACAGACAGTTGTCAAAAATTATAAATGAACAATAAACACAAGAAAAACTCCAGGCATTGGGACACACACCTTTAATGACCACACTTGGAAAGTAGAAGCAGGTGGATCTCTGAGTTCAGTATGAGCCTGGTCTACACAGTGAGTCCAAGGGAAGCCAGAGAGCTATGTAATAAAGAGGCCCTGTCTCAAAAAAAAAAAAAAAAAGGTGGGGGGAGAACTGATCAACATTCTGAGCCATGGGGAAATGAACATTAAATTGTTTTCAGATTCCATCTCACCACACTCAGGAAGCAAACAACAATAAATGCTAGTGAAGATATGGAGAAAAAGATACTTACACACTTTTGGTGAGAATGTAAGCTAGTGAAGCCACTAAGGAAACCAATATGGAGGGTCATCAAAAGACCAAAAATAAAACTACCATATGATTCAGGTAGACCATTCCTGGATGTATACTCAAAGGAATCTAAGCATACTACAAAGATATCTGCCCATCCATTGTTCACAATAACCAAGATACAGCATCAGCCTGGATGTCCATCAATAGATGGATGGATAAATAAAATGTGTGTATATCTAATGGAGTTTTATTCAGCCACAGAAAAGATGAAATTTTTCCACTTTTAGAAAATGGAAGAAACTGGAAATTATCATGTTAAGATAAATATTAAGGTTTTTTCTCATATGCAGAAATATATGTACGTACATGCACATACTTGACATGAAAGTAGAGAGACTATTTGTGGGAAGGAAGACCAGTGAGAGAACGAGATGGGGTAAGTGTGAAGAAAGTACAATGATAGATATGTGAGAAACATCATTTCATATTGCTTCATATGCTAATTTGAATTTTTAATTATGTATTTATAAAACTATGGAAGGCAGAAGACAAGTTTAGCTGCTCCAAGGAATTGTGGGGAGCAGAAATTGCATTTTAACAATATTTCCCAGTTGCCCTGTGCAACAGCGAAGTTGGAGGAACACTGCTGTAATCCCTCCCTAAGGCCATGCCTGGTACAGGCAGCAGCTGAACAGCAAGCATGCAGGCACATATGGCATTTGCTGCAGGAAGTTGGCTACATAGAAAAGAGTATTCTATAAAATCATGCACAAAGACAGGAAAGGAGAAAACTTGGAAAGACAGGAGACAAAAGTGAGAGAGGATAAATAACTTCTCTTTGTGTCAAAGAGAAGAACTCCACAGGTGATCAGGAAAAAGTAGGGTGTCTGAGAAAACTTTCCCAAAAAGACAAAAATCAAACAAGACAGCAAAATTGCCTCTCATCAGTTTAAAGCCAGGAATATTAATACATTTACTATATACGTTTGGTGGTTTAGTGGGAAAAAAAAGTCCAAAGCAGTATTTTAGTGTATGCCTTATTCATCTACAGTATACACCAGTGACAGTCACAATGGAAAGGGAAGGAAACAAAATGCCTTCCTCTTTTCTTATTCAGCTAGCAGCAGTATAATTAGAATTAATCCTCAATTACACACAGCCAACTTTATAATCTACCCGTGGGTTGTTGATCTTATCAGTGCAACCTGTTATGCTAAAAGCCAGTCACTATGAAAGCCAGCCGTCAGAGAGGATGCCCCCAGGTCAGTACCAGCTTGGCTAGCTCTCACAGTGTTGGAAGGTTCTAAGCAAGCTGCTAGGGGAGAAGAGTTATTACCCGTCCAACCCAGCTGTAAATCCTGTGAATGGCAGAAACAGTCAGCCCAGCAAATTATGCCCACTGGTACTATCATGGCACTGATATCTTGGCAGTATCTCAATCCATCTGATTGGACTTAAGGCCCACTCAGTAAGAGGGTAACTCACACCTGGCACTGTAAACCTGGCCAAAAACACATGGCTAGAGAATTCATGGACCCTAGAGGAGAGCCTACTACTGCCATTTTGCTAAACTGGATATAGTAATATCCAACTGCCTTCTGAATAGTCACCCTTGTGCCCAGAAATAAGTGCAGCTCTCGCCCCTCTGCTGTGGGATGGTCTGTATGTCAAATTGTTCTGATTGGTCAATAAATAAAACAC